GGACAAAACCCCAGGCACAGGGTGGCTGTCCTGCCGGGCTGCAGCTGTGTYCCTGCAGGACAGGGACATGGATCTGTCTCTCTYAGGCCTCACAGCCCTGAGCCCCGGAGCGATGGCACGCAGCAAACCAAAGGCAAAGGCACTCCCTCCTCACCCTGAGCTCCTTTCCAGGCTGGTTTACAAAATCCCTCTAAAAGAGCATCGTCTACCACTGCTGCGAGTCGCTGCTGCACAAGGTGGTGTGCCAAATGCAAGACAGATGGTTTCCCCTAGGAAAATGCGATCGAGTGAGGGAAAATGTACCACAAATATCCCCCGGCAGGGCTAAACTGGGACCCGGGGGCTTCAAAGAGACATTTAGAGAGGAAAGAGATTTGCTGGCTTCTCATGATTYTTTGTCATGAATAAAGACAAACTCTGATTGTTTTTAATAAGCTCTTTGCTTGTTTCCCTATTTGCTACATTACAAATTCACATATTTGTCTCTTTGGGAGACTGAGAGTAATTGCAGACCAGGTTTCCTCACGACATTGTCTCAGCAAAGGGAAGAAAGTTGTATGAGTGGAGAAGAAAGTAGTCTGTCCCCAAATCCTGAATTCTTTGTCTGGTTCATTAATACCTGGTGAGCTTTGATGCTCAACGAATCTCACAGATAGAGGAAGCCTTTGAGGAGGGTTCCACAGCCTCACACTGAAGTGTTAGAACACACAATAAATACCAGGAAGGTCTCCAAAAAAAGCAGGGAAATTGAAAACCAAACTCGACATTCTTGCAATTTCTAAGCATTTTTCTTTTTTTCTTTTTTCGTTTTTTTTTTAAGTTTTACCCTCCTTCATCCATCTAAGGAAGCAAAAAGCAATGCAATTCCCAGCTCTTTTAAATATCCTTAGCAGGTCACCTCTTACGCTGGGATGGCCRGCTGTGATCTGCTTCCAAGACTGTTGCATCAGAGCTCAGAAACCCAGCATGAGTGACCCCCTGCTCGASTGGGGACAAATCCCTGAGACCTGTGCTCACTCCAGGGGCCCCAGCCACTGCAGCAGCGGGGACGGAGGAAGTCCTGCAGCCCTCTGGGATGGGAACATGGGGCTGTCCCAGAGGGTGGCTCAGGCTGGGGCAGCCCTGGACCCTCACACCACTCACTCCAGGCACAGTGACAGCAGGGAGTCCCTAAAAGTGTTCCTGCAGATCCCCTGCTCCCCCACCGGCTGGGGCCATCCCACTGCAGCTCTCAGCTCTGCCTGAGGTGCATGGGGCACTGAGGGACTGGGGAATGCATCCTCCAGGG